TTCTCGAAAAAACTCCCAGAAAAAAAGTATTAACTAGATATAAAGTTTCTAAAGAAACGGGAAGAGATATTTTCTGAGAAATCATTATTAAAGTGCCGACATTCGAGACAATCCACAACTTCGGCGATAGACAACCTCCCAGTAATATTATCCCAATAAAACTTTTCTCATTTATTTTCCAATCCGACGGTCGGCCTTTAGTTTTCCTAACTTAGGAAAAGTCTGTACTCGAGAAATCCTGTTTATAAAAGGTGTAGCGACTGTCTTTGTCAGTGGCCGGTGTGGAAGTAACTTTCCTAACTTCTTAACTGTTTCGGTAACCTTTTTTTTTCTCCGTAGCCAATCGATTGAAAGTAATTTTATATCGTCCCACTCAATCAGAAGTTTGCGAAGGTGATTTTGACGGTTCTGAAATGCGATCAGAAACATAAAAAGTGTTTCAGTAACTTTTTCTGGTTCCAACTTTAATTATTTGTTGCCAAAAGTAAACCATTTTACATTTATAAATCAAGTAAAAAAGACATACATAAATTCACAACAGTAAGGAAAGAAATAATATGCAATTACCAATCTGATATTAGATATAGATCATACCAAAAAAAGTTTTTTAACTTCACTCAAAATGAGTTATTTGGGTCATGACCTAAATACAAAATATTTTTATAGTGTCTGTCTGTCTGTCTGTCTGTCCGTCCGTCTGTCCGTCTGTAACACGATAACTCAAAAACCGCTCAACCGATTTTAACTAAATTTGGCACAAAAATACTGTGGCACCCGAGAATCTGGCCATTAGTTTTTGGTGGCAGTTTTCAAATTAAGATTAGGAAAAATATTATTTGCAACAAAATTTGTAATAACATCAAAATCAGTCAAAGTCGCAGTTTTTAAGATATCAACATACGTGCCCCCGGCGCCAATTCTTAAATTTACATTTTTTTAATACTTTCATAATGTTTTATTGCTCAGTAGATTTTTCTCAAATAACAAATTACAAAGTAGCAAAATAAAAAACTTTACTTCTGCTATAACAGTAATAAATTACTTTTAATACAATTTTCATCTATACTTTTAGTGCATTAGCAATATTAAAACTAATTAGCTATCAAGTTTTAAAAGCATTTTCTTTTATGAAAACATTCTTTAATAAAACTTTTGACTTGTTTATTCCCTTCTTCATTCACAAGCTAAAAATACCCGGGTATAAACAAGCTACGACCTTTGAAAATTCGAGAATTCCTGGTAGACACGCAATCAACAAAAGTTGAATGTTTTATTGACATAAATTTTACCGATGTATTAGTTACCAGAGGCAAACAGAATTATTTAATGGAGAGCGTTTGAAGCGGTAAAATACCTACATAAAAATTTAATTTATTTTCCCATGTAACATAAATTCTGTTTTATTAGTTTATAGAATTATTTATATATTATATTTACTATATAGAGACTGGAAAATAGATTACTAAAAATAAAATATCTGAATATATCGTTTATTTTCATAATTGTAATAATTATGATGCACCATTCATTAAAATCCTAGTCATAAAATATATATTATTTTTAAATAAAATCATATTAAATATTTATATATAAAATTTAATAATAAAATACGTCTAAAAAACAGTTCTGGGTTTTGAGTCACTAGAACAAAATCTACTAAATAAAAAAAAAATTTTTGGTAAACACCACTGCGTTGATCCAAATGGAAACAAATTTATCAGTAGTATAGAATCAGTATGAGCAACAACGGCGAATGCAGAATCTGTGGGGAAGATACTGGCTTTTGTCAAAGCCCTAAGACTGTATGAAGAGTTATCAAGAACAAAGAACAAATGTAAAACCTCTGACGAGGGGGAGTGGACTCAAAAGACTCACAATCTTTTAGGACGTTTATTTCAAAATAAAAAACATCCTAAAAGATTGTGAGTTTTTTGAGTTTCCTACCCCTCGCCAGATGTATTACATTGATATGTACTCACACTGGGTTGGAAAACGTTTAAACAAAGATCAAAGATAAAACTATTGTAGGTAAATTAAATAAAAATAAACTGTTATAAATTTAAATAAAGTCCATAAACGAATGTCGATTTTGAAAATACCTACTAACTGTAACTAGAAAATTACTGATTGCCATTTTATTGAAAAATCGCTTTTTATTCAAAATCTGAGCCAGATAGGTATAGGAAACCCTAATATAGTTTGGAAGAGCATTTAAATCACAGTTGCATTTGAAATAACAAAGTTTTTATGTAAAATATATATTTAAAATAGACCAGCAGTTTTTGACACCCCTGTATAGATTTAAGGAAGCAATAAATTTTTTTAGTAAAGTTTATTTCTCGGACTTAATAGTCAGCACAAGAATTAACGCTGAAAAGTAATGTACAGGGTGTTTATAATATTTTTAATTGTAGCATGCATATCTAAATATCTTCAAATAACTCAAAAACTAAAGCTTTTAGACATATTAAACACTTATAATAAATGCCTTATTTTATGTCTTAGAATCCAAAAATGAAATAAATACCGGGTGTTCCATAAGAAAAATATATCTTTGGTATGGATCTTAGTTCTGATACACCCTGTACATTTCAAAATAATTTTAAATTATGCACATTGCCTTTCCACTTATATCCATAAAATATTTTGTTTCTACATCTTTCCGTTTTTGTATAATTAACCGAGGTGATTGAGGTGAACCACCCTGTATATTATTAATAAAGCATCTAAATTTTCTTTTTGTTTAAAACATCAAAGAAGAAGATAAATACCTAGTTATTTTACTCACTTGAAATAACACAAAAATGTTAATTATTTGTATATTTTGTCAGAATTTTCCTGTTACAAAAATATCTAATTTTCTTTCCTGCTAATAAAATTACCGAGAAAAAAAGGACCACCGTGATAAATAGTTGTTTTAATATCTTTTGTTCGAATAACAAAAGAGAACCTGCGGATATACCGGTTTTAATAAAGTATGATATATTTGCACAGCAGGTAAGTATAACTGAGAATCCTTTGTCACTGGGTCTCGGAGCCCTAGGGCTCTTAATAAAAAATTACGCAATTTCCGAAGACGAGATTTCTGAGAGTATAAGTAAGATAAATAAGGGCCGTTAGAGTTGGGATGTGAGAAAATTGAATTCTTTTAATAAAACAAAATATTGTCTTTTTTAGTTTTCGAATGTAAATAAATATCTTAAGAATACGACAAACAAATTATTATTCTTAGCTATATATTTTTTATTAATTTTTTGAGTACCTCTTATACAGAGTCTTTTAAAAAATATGTGCCATCTCTCGTAGGGAGGTTCCTCACGTAAAAATAAGATTTATTTTTCATATTAACATAGGTCCGATTCTGCTTTGTTTTGTAGCTACAGTGTGTTAAAATCTTAATAATCTTTCCATTTATTATAATTTTCTTCCAAGTACTTTTAGTGATTCGAATGAAATTTTGAGGGTAAAAGTTACTAAAAGTGCTACATATTTTAATGCTAAAAAGGTGTCGATAAATTTATCAGGGACGTGCATATGGGTTATCACTGGAATATTATTCAAAAAAAAACATGAACGCCACTGACTTTTTTCTTTTGATATTAAAATTGTGTAGGCCGTTTAATGCCAATTAAAAGTTATCTCTTGACATTTTGTCTAATTCGGCTTCCTTCATGAGATAAATGCAATTTTATTAATCACAATTTAATAAAATTAAAATTAAAATAAAACTAATAAATTATAATATATTTTACCTAATTTATTATTAAATGTTATTATTATTAGTCCAACCTACAGCAATTTCAAATAAAAAAATAATGGTATTTAAGATAATTACAAAAAACTAATTTTAAAAAGTTTTAACATCCTGTAACTCTAAAACTATGCATTTCCATACTCATGTTTATAGGAACTTTTTTTCATATTTTTTGTTGAGGAATTAGTGTGTACTTATTTAAAAATCTTGCAAGTTAATGATATTACAATTTTTTAAAAGTTGCTATTAGACTTGGATCAAGGCAAATTAATAAAATTGCGCTTATCTCATCAAGGAGGTTGAAACCGACAAAATATCAAAAGACAACTTTTAATCCGCATTAAACTGTTACTATTTTGCTAAAAAGAGAAAAAAATCAGTGACGTACATGTTTTTAGAAACATATTCGAGTGATAACCCATATGCACGTCCCTGGTAAATATGTCGACACTTTTTTGGCTCTAAAATATGTCGCATCTATAGTAACTTTTACCCTCAAAATTTCATTCGAAACGCTAAACATACTTGGAAGAAAATTATAATAAATCGAAAAAATATAAAGACTAACACCCTGTAGCTACGAAACAAAGCAGAATCGGACCTATGTTGATATGAAAAACAAATCTTACTTTTATGCGCGGAATCTCCACATGAGAGATGGCACATGTTTTTTGAAACACCCTATATAAAAAATCATAATAAAAAACAGCGTTATCATAACTAATGCGTTTATGATACACTTTTTATATTTTTATTAATATATAGTTTGCATTTAAAATTATATTAAAATAACTAAAATTGTTATTATTCTACTTTCTTTAATTAATTGTTATTTTAGTATTTACCATTAAACGTAAAACGCTAAAATATACAATATGATCGAATAAATACGGCGTCAGCGATGGACGTTTTTTTTTTTCGATCATACGGTACAATATTAAAATAATTATTCCAAGTGAATATTATTGTCAAATGATTTAAAGCAATATTTATTTGACAACATTCAATTTCCTATTGTAATTAACTTAACCTCATCTATACATATTTTAAATATAAAAACAATGTCAAAAAATATTGTTATAACTTCAAAGTTTCTTGTTTACCTAATATACTTTAAAAAAAAGTATTAAATGTTAACATTTTAACGTTAACCAATTTTATTTGTATAATAACTCTAATTTGGACAATAAATCTGTATGAACAGAAAACTAAGTATAATTAATAAATTATCATAATTTAAACTTACCGCTCTCGATTGAACAACTCCAATGAAAACGGCAATCGCGATGACGAGCATCGTTGGCGAGTGACAGCCGCCCATGACAGCAGCTTACTAGATCGAGTCGCGCGAATATACTGAAGCTTTTCTTCGGTGTAGCGGTAAATAAAGCCAGTTTGTAGGATGGCGCATTTGCGTTCTGTACTTCCATAATTCAAAGAACGGGACCACTGAGGACATCTATTGGGCAGAGCGAGAAGATTCCAGGGTAAAAGAGGAGAATCATAAAATCGATAGTTATGAAGTGACATCTAATGATAATGTTGTGAGTTTCCTGAAACAAAAGGATGGATATTATAATAGCAGAAATTAATATTACATTAATGTTTTGTTTAATTTTACAAGCAAATAGTTATTTATTAGACAGGGTCGCTGATATGTATGGGAACAGTCGATGATATTATTAGATAAAATATACGAGGTCCGCAAAAAGTTAATATAAAAGTTATAGATTTTTTAAATATTTATTAGCGGGTAATAAATTTAAGTGCACAGAGTCGGTTATAAAGTCATGGCACATCAAAGCTTCATTTTTTTAAATGGAAACCCCTGTTTATTATTGAATATTTCAGTTTTTCCTCTAAGCAAATATCGAGATACACACAATGTACCTCAAACCTACAGTTTCCGAGTTATTGACTTTTGAAAATAATATCACTTGAACAATTCGATTTAATTAATGTTGATGTGTTCGATTTCATTTAACGATGCTATTCTGCGAAAACAGTGCTACTTTACAGATATATAAAATGAGATTAGAAAGTCTAAAAATTACAAAATTTTCGGTAACATTTAAAAATCAAAACTTCATAATTCGGAAATGGTTGAATGTACATTATGTGTATTAGAATTACTGCTTAAAATTGAAGGAAAAATTGAAATATGCATTATTAAAAAAAAATTTGAAGTGCCACAACTATATGATCAACCATGTATACTTAAATTTACTACTAGTTAATAGAAATTTAAAACCCTATACCTTTTGTATTTAACTTTTTGCGGTAGTTTGTATATTTTACCTAATAATCGATCGTTCCCATACACATCAACGACCCTGTATAAGTGTTACCAACGCAATAATGTTTTTTAATTTCCTTAAATAATTTATGTTCAAAAATGTTATAAATTATTAATAACTTTATATAAATAATTTTTCAGCTTTAAAATTGTTGTTTTCTTGACAATTTGGCGACTGATCTTTTAAAATATATTACTTTTTTTTAAATGCATTGTTATACAAAACGATTGAAAAAAATGTCGTCATAGTAGGCTTTGAAATAACAGTTGATAAAAATTTCTGTAGGACCGGTTCCTATATGTTTATATTATTTACTAATATAGACTAACAAAAAAATATCGAAATTTTATTATAATTAACATACGAATAAAATATTGTACACGTTCTTTGTATTTTTTAATTTATACAGTAAATATGCATTTTTATACAGTATGATCTAAACAAAACAGCGTCCAGTTCGCTTTGAGATAAACATTGATGACATTCCCCATATAACTTTACATAAGATTGACACCGATTCCCATTTCATAGCCATCGCTAACGCCCTTTTTTTCGATCATATTTTATTAACCTCGAAGTGTATATTTATTAATGTTATTTAATAGACACTGATTTTCATCCAAATATCTACATTAACACCCTAACTAACTTCTTCACCCTGTATCTCCGAAATGAAACATTTCAGACTATACATTTATACGAAGTTTTTTTACTAATTTTTATTTGCAAAATATGCGGCCAAAGTTTCCCGATAACAATTCGAATCACCCTGTGTAATTGCTTAGGGTTAATAATAGTATACAATTAAAAAACTCAAGCAAAAAAAAATAGTTTGTTTAAGTTTTGACGAACAGTAGTCAGCAACAACCAGATTCTGTTTGCCTGTTTCTTATAAATTTAATAGTTCCAAAAACCCTTACATCCCTTAAATTCTTCACATGGAAAAATCAGAGTTAATGCGGTGTACAAAACAAGATCAGTTCACTTCATTAAGTTTATTGTAGGTCCATGAGTTAAGAAACTTATAAAGATATCGAAAAGAATATAGTCTTTACTTAAAATCCTTCTTTATAAAATAAAATATAATGCCTCAGTAAGTTTAAAAATGCATAAAGTGTTTAGCATGTAACAAATTTAATTATCTAACAGGAATAAGTATTAACAAATAATGCAGAGAATTTTTTAAACAAATAATTTTACATAAACAATTCAATTACTTGACATTACTGACAAATTAAGACCCCCTATGAACAATGAAGTTAAAAAAATGTTATCAATCACACGTGTAGATACACAAAATTTATAAAATATCTTGATAATCATTGTACTATTGTCTCAATAGAATTTTTTATATTAAATGATAGGTATTGTAAATAAGCTATTCAATTAATCCGAGACAGTAATATACGGTAGCAATTTTTATTTATAGATAAGATTGTTCGTGTCTTAACGTTATATTTATTTTAATTTAAGATCTTATTATTATTTGTCAAAACTTAAAACAAGTTATACTTATGGGGATTCTTGACAGTTCTGTTTGACAATTTATTTGACACATTTGAATTTGATTTGAAATTTTGTGGATTTGTCACTCTTTACCGAGCTTATTTTATGTTATTTATCATTTATTCTACTGCTGATAGTTGTTTAAAGGTAGTAAATCTAGAAGGAAATTGTAGCAGAACTTAAATTATAAGTGACACTATTGTGATTTATCGAAAAAGACTGTAAAATAGTTGTTTGTGTAGCTTGCGGTAGATCTCTGTCAAAAATCGAGGGAAATAATGGAATAACTTTTCGCTAGTAGGTGACTATATAATATATGTACATACGTATAGTTTAAGTCGTATCTGAGCAACAGAAGTCAACTTGTGGTGGTGGATACCACGTTGTCTTCTAGTAAGCCAATAGAATGTGGAGTACCTCAAGGCTCAGCACTAGGCCTTATTTTGTTTCTTCTTTTTATTAACGACATTGCTAACATAAACATCAGAGGTAAAATATGTCTTTTTGCGGACGACACTAGCTTCACTTGGAGCAACAAGGACGCCACGGCACTTCATAGAATTATATCAAATGACTTAATCACCATTAAATCTTGGTGCGATTCGAACCTCCTGAGTCTCAACATTTCTAAAACTTAAAACTAAAGCTTTGTCGTATAAAAACTCGCTGCAGCCTTTTGTACTTAACAACACCACCATTGACGTCGTAAAATCTGTAAAATTCTTAGGGCTTGTTGTAGACAAATCGACATATCGACGTTTTGTCGAAAAAATTAAATTCTGCCTGTTTTGCATTAAGATCTGTTTCTAAGGAGCTTAACTTGTCAGTGGCTAGAACTATTTATTATGCACTTTTTGAGTCGCATCTCAGGTATGCCCTTCCATTCTGGGGTACGTGTTGTGCGACTCAATTTGACCGTATTTTCAAGCTCCAGAAGAGAGCTGTTCGATATTCACTGGGACTAAACAGCAAAACTCATTGCCAGGACTTTTTTAAAAAATTAAAAATATTAACTCTTTCTTCCTTATTTATATATGAATCCGTTTGCCTAATACGTAAGCATGTATCAGCTTCTCAAGAAAGGCCATCTCACACTTATCCACACAGGAACGCGGAGCAAGATCTTTATCCACCTACCCCACGCTCAGAGTTAGTTAAAAGTTCAATATTATATAACTCGAAAAAAATGCACAATCACCTGCAATTTGAAATCAAATCCATAACATCATTTTCTTCATTTCGCAAAGCATTGAAATCTTATTTACTAGACAAGGCTTTCTACGCCGTAACATTTATAAATATTTATAACATTTATAAATATTTATTTTAAACAATAAGACTGACAATTTAATCTGTATACTTGTTTTGTATTCTGTTTTTGTTTGTTTACTAGTTTTGTTACTTTGTTTGTATTTTATGTACTTTACCTTTTTTTACAAATTGTAAATTTTTTTGACAATAAAGGCATTTATTTATTTATTTATTTATTTATTTATAATTGTCTGGGGTATTGCCAGTGCTGTGAAAACAACATTTTTGTAGATCTACTCATACACGAGAAACCCCGTAAAACACACGAAAATGAGACTGTACTGATAATAATAATAGAAGAAAAATGAGTCTTTTAAATGCAGTATTTTATTTTTATCTATGAAAGCAATTTTCATTCATATTTTTATCTCAGATTCATGTTTTTTTCCTATTAGAGCATTTACTCTATTATCCCACGTTCTTCCACTGTAAAACACAATAAACTAAACGAAGTAAACTAATGAAATTTCTACGCTTGGTTAACTTTGAGTGTAACGTCTTTGTGTGGAGAAAATTCGATTAGATAGGGTAGTTATTGAATAGAGCTAGCTGAATACCTACTACAATTATTGTCAAGTAAAGCTTGTATGTTATTATCTCTTGTTCTAGTCTACTTATCTATTACAAAAAGTGACCTTAATAAAATTTAATAAATAGGAATGACTGTTTTGATCAGCTTGAATATACCCGCTGTTGTTTTTTTCTGCTAAGTTGTATGTGTGTAACTGAAATGTTTGTAAAATATACAGGATGCCCCATTAAACAAGTTAACAGAAGTCTCGCTTATATGCTTTTGCATTTTTGACAGCATTGATTTAATTTATGAGTTTAGTTATACGCTGTTCTCCATATTAGATAGGATAGGTTTCTACCAGTTCTGCCTAAAAACAGCCCCGAGTTCCAACATTACAGGGTTGAAGGGTGGTGCATTCGGTACTTAGCCAATAGGATCATTCCTAAAGGTACTGTTCTTTGCTTGATTGGTCAGCTTGACATCTCCCTTCAAACCAAATTGGTTCGACCTCCCGTTGTTAGATGGCAGTACTATGACCATTTTACGTATTTAATTCTCGTTTATGTCTAGATACGTGCTTTCCTAAAGTTCCCAGATCCTTTACAAACATCCGGCGATAGTTACATGTTATCAAGGATGGTTATTGGTTTTACAACGTCCCAGCGTTTTTATCTAAGGTCTATCTTTACAATTTTTCTGTTTACTTCTAAGTACTACAGTTTATTTGCTTTGCCCTTCTATAAGTTTGGGAATTTAAAAGTCACGTTTGAAAGATGTTTGTTTTATTACTTCCTGTTAAAAAGACCCTCTCCCGAAACTAATAACCGAAAACATCGACTTGAACGTAAAGGACATAGGAAATAATCTGTTAATAATATAAATAATAATATAAAGGAAATAATCTGTTACAATAAAAACAAGATTTCTCTAAAATGGAAATTCAAATTTTCTGAATTCTCCTAAATGTTTTTCTTTAAATTTCCTTTATTTTAAACACTCATTTATTTACGCAATTTCCATCTGTCTATTAGTATGCTGTATTGATTATTTTATTTTAGATCAAACCTCCAAAAAAACACCAGCACGCGCCGTATCACACTTCCTCAAACAAAATCACGTGCTTCTTCGTTATCCACGATTAACGTTTAGGAATTTTCCGCTCCCGAACGCGCATGCCTCCGACCAATCAGGAAAATCAGCTGGAAACCGCAGTTTTCTCAACTAAATTGATGTTTAGATAAAGACATTTCACCCGTCTCTCTTCGAATGCTCCAATTTCAAGCATGAATTTAGTAAAATGCTTGGAAAACAGTAAAATTCATGCTTTAAACATGGTATTTTTGAGTTCAGGGTTTGGATTTGGATTTTTAGGGAGTTGTAAATAACGATTCGATAAACAGAAAGTAAAACAATGAATATAATGAGGGTTGGAAGGGCGCAAGTCACGTGGTTTCTATGTCAAGGAAAGAGAACGATGCTTGCAGTGCTGTGCTGAGAATCAGATGGCAGATATTACCATGGCTTTGGCGTGAATCACGGTACACTGATAAAATATTAAGTCCCTTTCTTTGGTTTTTGTTTCCATGTAAAGTTTTTTGAATTGTTTGAAGAAGTATGATTGAAAATACACGATCTTCTAGTCAATGGTGAGTTTATATCTTAATAGTATTGCATGTTTTGAATAAATAATGTAATTAAACTAGTTACTGATGAATATATTAGATGCATAAATTACTGAATTAATTATCCGAACGACATTTGAATTTATTAATTAGTTTAATGAATGTTTTATTAAAAAAAAGGTTCAAAGTAATACAAAAGAACATTGCGTCATGTATTATAAAGTTTATTGTTTGTTGAATGGTTTATTGAAAATTAAAAATCGTTTAGAAAAATAGATATCATTTTGACACAAATAAATATAACTAATTATTTTAAGATAAAAGCTGTTGTAAAATATTTGTTTGATAAACAAAATTGTTAACTAAAAAACTTTTTAAAATAAATTGACATCCGCTTTATACAGTATGTCCCCGGATTGTCTTTACAAGAGGAAAAAAAACTTTTTTATTATTGATATTTTGAGAAAAAGTATTCATTAACATTTTTGCTTGTTCTAAAATGGTTAATCCCGTTCATACTTTTCCAAATTTCCATACCGTTTTTGAAAAAATTAAGAAAAACATGAAAATATGGTTGCATTTTGTACTAAAAATTAAAACGCGCCTTCTATGGTAATATAACTTCATTTTCATTATTTGATAGATTGTAATTCATAGAATTTTAATTAACGTAATATTTTTTGATGTTTTAAAATGTTACAGAAACACAAAATTTATTTAGTTTAATGCTACGGAAAGGGTGATAATATTTATCGGAAATTACCATACGTTAACATCTTACAGTATTACATTAATCAAAATTAATAATAGCCATCTATCAAAAAATTAAATCGAATTGATATTACCATAGAAACGGCTTTAGATTTTTAGGTTTTTCTCAATTTTCTCTAAAATGGTATGGAAATTTGGAAAAATATAAACGAGATTAACAATTTTAGAACAAGCAAAAATTTGTATGAAGAATACATAGTCCTAAGACATTATTAAATTTGATTTTATAATTTCAGAGATATAAATAAGTAAAAGAAAACAATATTTCCCAACCTTTTTAAAAAAAAATAAGATTAAAAACATACACGATGTATCCCGAAACCAAAACTATGCTAGGTACATACTATAGTTGGTAATAGTACTTACTTTATTATAAATATCGTAATCTTAAATCATACAGGATGTACAAAAATCCATACCAAACTTTCTGAAACATAAAATAATGTTTTTTTGTTTTTTTTTTCTTAAATTGAATACACTGTATATTATTTTTTTGTTAGATTGAGAATTAAAAAATTGGGAGGGGGGTAGAAGAAAAAGTATTAAAATTATTTTAATTTGGACATGTCAAAATGCGAGCTAAAAATCCCTAAAATCAAAAACAACAAGAAAATACACTAGAAACATAAAATAAAGGTTTAAATAGACAAAAAAGAAACAAAATAAACAGGGAATGAGTTATTATTGGATTTAAAGATTTTCGCGGATTGTTTACCTGTAAAAACAGTCCAGTATATCATTTCCAATCGATAAATTTGTACATAAGCCCCTGTTATGTATGAATAATTTCGCAGAAATAGTGCCTTTCGTGTCATGGTGCCCTAAACCCGTTCAGTATCATGCAATGTGTCACCAGGCATACATTATGTAAAACATTAGTTTCCGTATTTCGTTTTGTAGTAGCCCAAAAAAATATATAAGTGATAAAAATAAAAAAATACAACACCAGTGTTGAAGTTATTTTCAATCAACTTTTTTTTCTAAAATTATAATATTCTGTGTGATTTTTTTTTTCATAAAATGAATTTGAACATGGAAAAATGTTTTTAATAGTTATACCGGATGGGTCTTAAATAAGTGCAAATATTTTCAGGACTGGTAGATCTTGATAAAAGAAACATATTTTCTCTTTACCGTTTTTCAAATAAACCAAAAATAAGTGAATTATACTTTGAGAATTTTGAGGACCACTGGATTTTTTCTGGATTTTCTTTCTTGTAAATTTAATCTACTACCTATGTTGCCATATTATCAACAATTATGTTTTTTAACTAAAGACTAAAAAAATTTCAAATTTTCTTTTTTTCGTGAAAAAAAGCTCATAATCGTGTTTCTGTGGTCAAAATGTACTCTCCCTAAAAATATTTGCACTTTTTAAGACACACTCTGTATAGGGTCTCAAAAACCAATGATGTATCATATCATCGGACCTTCAAATTTAGGACAACCTTTATAATCTGTATACAATGTATAACATGACCATTTTAGTAGCTTGTATCAAAATATCTGCAGTTCTTTTGTATCTACCTATAGAAGTTTATAATGAAAATGGACGTGAAAGAAAGCTTTTACTCCTTCATTGTTAACGAAGGCTTTCTGGAAAATTACATATCTCTTGTTCCGCGCCCTTTTTAAGGTTAATCGACCATTTGACTGACGTTTCTTCTGTACTAAGGCCAATTTTCCTAAAAGAAAGAGATTGATAAATCGTTAGATCGATGTATGAAAAATGTGTATCTTGGCATTTGATATCTAGATTAATCATTGTATAGAAAAATATAAGGAAGGATATACCATACGATCGAAAAAAAAAGGTGTCAAAGATGACTGGGGACTAAAAGTTGGTGATAATTTTGGCGAGGTCAAGCCCTAGACTGCGTTTACTTGGCCCTTACTGTTTAAAATTCCAGAAAAAATATTCTATCCTTCTGGAAGGCTCTCTATATTTTTTCAATCTTTCTATAGTCAGTGTTAATTTTTGACAAGTTTAATGTCAACTTTTACTAACTGACGTCTAGAGATTGACCTCGGGCAAAATTACCATCGACTGCCATCCCCCAGCCGTCTCTGACGCCGTTTTTTTTTAAATCGTATGGTATTATTTCATGTTTAATTCAAATTTGCTTTTATGCGTAGTGTACAAATCTGGGAAGAGATTGTGTCACTACAAAAAAAATGTCCCAGCTTTATATCAAGCAGATAAGACACCTGGAGACAATAATTATTATGGAACTATTTAAACATAAAGATAAGATTTTGCCATTTTTCTGTACTATTATTATCAAATATTTGCTTAATAGTAATTGTGTATAATGAAGTGTGTTTAGGAGCACTTAAAAACATTAATTACGCTCGTGTTAAAGTACGTACACACTTATAAACATGGCTAAAATTATTTGCATTCATTTGTATTAAGGAATATGGAAAGATATATTGATAGAATTTAGCGAAATTCCAAATATTGGAAAAATGTAAATAATCTTTATCAATCTTAGTATTGAAATTTACTTTTGAAATAAATGTTATTTTCCACTCAAGAACATTTTAACAAAAATACACTGTAATATAATACAATTTCTTAATGAAGAGTGTAATTAAAAGCAGTTTACATAATATCTGTTTAAGATGTCTTAATTGTTTATCAAAAATGGAGAATACAATGTAAAAATCAGTATTTAACAAACAAGTCTATTTATGTCTTTAGTAATATTCCTGCAAACTATCAATGATTAAGAAAACAATATTAAACAAGTCTTAAAAAGAGTAACTGGAAAATTGGTATTAGCCACTGTTACATGACACACTCTGTATAAAGATTTTATTCAATTAAAAATACTAATCGTCCTGTCCGGGCGTTGTTTCGAGGACGCACTTTCATTTAAATACTATCAGATTTAGCGCATTTGACTGATTCATACTGTATTTTATTATTATAAAACATACTATATTATAATACAGTTTGTAATTCAATAATACAGTATGATCGAAAAAAACGGCGCCCAGTCAACTTGGAAATGAACATCGATGACATTCCCCTTATAATTTTACATATAAAATGACAGCGATCTTCATTTCATAGACAACGCTAGTTTGGATTGTGGAAAATTTTATATTTTGCTAGAAGCTAGAAATAAACAACATTGTTAATTTTCAGGGATTAAGTGTTAATAGTTCTAAAATTTAACACCTGTGTTGATTTTATCTCATTTCAGTCAAAGTTTACAGAATTAATTCTGAAAATTTTGTTTTGGTAAATAAATGCCGATTAAATAAAAACTTAATGAGCTATTAAGAAATGGTCATTATTTATTACTTTGTCTGCATTCACTTTCCGTCTATGCGCTGACATCCAATTTTTAGTCGGCCGACTATTTAGTTGCAGGATTATTATTATTAGTTGCGCTATTTTACTATTCTCAGTGAGTAGCCGATAGGCCATTGACAATGATATGGCCGAGTATAATGGCTGAGGTTCGGGTCCGAGGCTTTGTTGAGAAATTTGTGTGTTGAAGTGTTGAGCTGCAGACCCAACACCTTAACCCCTTACTAGGAGGACCAGGTAATTTTAAGTCAGAGTGTTCTTCCCTTTAAACTGGGTATCCTTCAAAACTCAAGAGACCAATTTTCCCTGCTGCTTATACATTATCCCTAAAGCTGGGTAGCCACTTCCGCCGAATACGCCGTACTAAGGTCCATCCTCTCCGCCTTCTTCGCCGTTGTGGGCTTCGACCGTAACCCTGACCAGGGGGAAGCGTTATACCCCGCAACATTGGGTCCCCGACAGGACTTAGCCACCGATTTTGGACGCGCCTGTCAAGATTTGTCTAAGTGGATTCAGAGAAGGACACTCTGGTTTCCCTTAGACCGGTCCCCGGTCTTAATAGCGGGAGACAGAGACGACTCCAGTTATATGTTTAGAAAACTGTATGAGGAATATTCGAAATGGGGCCTAACAATAAACACAAAGAAGACGGAGTACATTGTAGTGGGTGATGACGAACTTGAGGATTTGGATGTAGGAACCAAATCGACACAATTAAAAATGTCTGTACATTTAAATACTTGGGCGTCACTTTTACAACAAATGGAAAAAGCACTCAAGATATTGCAAATAAAGTTGGTCAAGGAAAAAGAGTTATCGGTCAACTTAACTCGTTTTTATGGAGTGATCAAGGTAAATTTGAAAAATTCGGTAAATCTCGCATTTTTGTTTCCAATACGTCCTGTAAACTATTTGTTTATTTTAATTTTATTATATCAGAAATGCAAATAATAAAGTTACTGACGATGGCTGGATAAAATTGTAATATCCCTAGACTTTTCCGGTGTGTGTAGTTAAATAAGCTGAAAATGATGATGATGATGATGATGTTACTATACATAGAAAGGGTGATTTCTGTAAGTCGATCATGTTTTCGGGGAATGATAGGGGGCGTACAAATATTAATTTTGATATAGCACACTATGGGTCAGAAATGCCTCCTACGCAAGATACAGGGTGTTAAAGTTTTTGAAAAATTAAAGATATTCTTTAATAGTTTTTTAACAGTTGAAGGTATCGTTATAAAATTTTATTATAGGAGTCTACCTAACAGAAACGTAAAAAGAATGAATAGGCTGAATACAATATGAATAAAATAACAATAAAATTGGTATATTTGCATAATACAAAATTAAGTTTTAAGAATAAAGGTGTTACTAAAAATACTAAGAAATTCATATTTCTTTGTTTTAATTGGTCTAATGTTATTTACATTTTACGTAAGAATTATACCGTATCATCGAAAAAAATCGGCGTCTAGTTGCCTTGGAAATGAACATCGATGACATTCCTTAAATAATTGTACACATAAAATAATTAACTAGAATTTTACAATCTTGGAAAATTTGATATTCTTGAACCTTGTTTCTAAATATTCTAAATTTTTTGATTTTCTTGGGATTTAGGTTCGGGAAAAACGCTGATTAAGTTTTCATTTGGTTTTTCATTATTTTTATTTGGTTTAAAAAAAAACGTTTCGGCTAACATTATAGCCTTCATCAGTGTTGTGTCATATGAAAAAAAATAGTGTCCAATATAATCCAAAAATTACATATAAAATATTCACACCACACATATAATGTTTACTGCGTACCCATAGTCAATGTAGATAATTTTAGTGTTAAGAATAATAATTTTTAAAAATATGTGGTCATCTTTTGATAAGTTTATATTAGTTTATTAATTGCAGTAAACATTATGAGGTGTGAATTATATTGTATATGTAATTTTGGATTATATTCGACACTATTTTTTCTCATATGACACAACACTGATGAAGGCTGATAGTTAGCCGAAACGTTTTTAAACCAAATAAAATAATGAAACCCAAATGAAAACTTAAATCAGCGTTTTTCCCGAACCTAAAAATCCCAAGAAAATCAAAAATTTTAGAATAATTTTACTTATAAAATGCCAGCGATCTTCATTTCATAGCCATCGCTGACGCCTTTTTTTAGATAATATTGTATTATTTGTAAATATAATTTTTCGAACATTGATACTTGCAAAATATACATATAAATTTTGTGTAATACATCACTATTAGTAGATATTGAATGTTTTTTGTTAAATTAGATCGATTTTCAAACCCCAAAATTTAAAATATATTTACATTTTACCCATTATCTTATGTACGTATACATTATTTGTACATTGTAAAACATTTGCTGCATTTGTATGGTTCATAGTTTATTTGCCAAAGTATTTATTACTATAAATAGGTATATATGTTGTAGTTATTAACTGTATATTATGTATATTTCATGTAAACTATATCATTTTTAAAATACAAACCAAAAATCTGAGGAATATTTATGTTTTCCATGTATTCTACAACATATTTATTAATCCGTTATATCTAACTAGCGTGACGTCATAAATCTCGCCCGTAGGCTGATCTTTTAATAGAAGGCACTGATCGATTTTCCTGTTTCTTTTTGCGATGTTTCCATGCCTATATCTAATGACTGTTAAACTTGACAGTGACAATTAACGTCATCTCAACCTAAAACCACATTTACTTCTATCCAATTTTGACTGTCTCTGTTTTTATCTAATTCCAGCTCGGCGGGCATCAGTGATAACTGCAGAGATGCGTCCAACATCCCGCCGTGAAACACGACCAAACAGCGAAACTCTCGCGCGCCTCGCCACAGTTGTTCACGAACCCACAGCGCGGCGACTTTGCGTCCGCTCAGCGTCGTGAGCGTCGATCCACGTTGCGCCCGACGTCGGCCGCGAAACATCGCGACAATTTGACAGAGGAGAGTGTTCAGCTTGGCGAAGAGTGTGTGAGGAGATAGCTGGAGGCTCGTGAGGAGCGATATGTCGCATCCGGTGCCCAAGAAGAGGGAGGATGAGGAGGAGAGTGAGACCTCGCCGCCGCCGGATGGAGGATGGGGTTGGATGGTGGTGTTTGGGTCGTTCATGATTCACGTTATAAGTAAGTGATTGATTGATTTAATGTATTTTGACCCGACAAAATATTATACCCCTTTTTCTTTTCAATTGAAAAAAAAAATTAAAAAAAATAATTTATTATCGGTTATTATCAAATTTAGTTATAAGCTGGTTGGTATAAACATGGCTAAAATTATTTGCATACTTTTGTATTAAGAAATATGGAAAGATATATTGATAGAATTTAGCGAAATTCCAAATATTGGAAAAATGTAAATAATCTTTATCAATCTTAGATATGTATAAAACTAGTAGCCTAAGAATTATTTACAGTTCGTCCCATTCTAAAAAAAGGTAAACACACCGCACAAATAACTCTAGAAAGAGGTATTTGTATTGTACGGTGGTAAAAAATTGTCTAAACAAGACCGAAGGGGCAGATATAAGATATAATAAAGCAATAAAATGTAAAACAGGACGGGTAAACACCTTTGTTTATTTGTTGAGCAAAATTCCATTAGAATATCGTATATAATGACCAAAATATGACGCAATTTAAAAAAATGTCACTTTTTCTAGCTTATAATAAAGTTTCAAATGCAACGTTTATATTCAAATTTGTTATGATTTACAACAGTTAGGTAGTAATTGAGACGAATTATAATTCAATTACCGGCTACTACGTTCTTATTTTAATAGATCAAAATTCAACAAATATAATTAGAAATTATTTTAATTGTGAGAGGCTCCCTTGTAGGACGCCTATGTACGATTACGGCGGAAACAATACCTGCCTGTAAAAAGACAAATTCGGATAATTTGAGCTTATTTTTCCACACATTTGACACTGTCCTACCATATTGAAAATTCGCAGATTCAAAAGTACGTTAAACAAAAACAAAAACTAATGAAAAACACTGAAAAGTTCACTTCGGACTTGATTCCGACTTCAAACACACCGTAAGCTAAACGTAGTACGCTGTAACGGACCAATGGCCGTCGCGAGGGGTGGTGGGACGGACGGCTCATTTCATTCTGGAAGACTAGCAGCGACGTTGCCAATAGTTCTAGACGTTTCAGCACATTAAACAGTAAACATGTCCTTTAATAATAACGCATATATCTTCTGGTTAATAACATATTATTACGCATGCTTCTTTAAAAATAAACTATAAATTTAATTAAGAAATTGAGATTTATTGATATCCGGCGAAGGTTTTAAAGTCACCTTTTCTGCAAATCAAACTAAGTAGATAGGCGCAAATTTGAGATGTGGCAATATCGCCTTCTCTATCTCAGTTGGTTTTTACAGTACGTAGTCAACCTCCGATTGTTTGATCGGGTTAAAATGCACAATGTGATATCTGTTCTTACTAAATCTATGGTATTAGTAGTTTGTTAATTATTATATAGGTACATCCAGCCCTACACACAGATAATTTATTTATCTCTGTAGGAATTACAATGTAGTATTATTATTTTGTAATTTTTGTTTCTGGAAATAAATTATTATTATTATTATTATACTATATTATAATACAGTTTGTAATTCAATAATACAGTATGATCGAAAAAAACGGCGCCCAGTCAACTTGGAAATGAACATCACAAAAATAATTTATTATCGGTTATTATCAAATTTAGTTATAAGTTGGTTTATGTTGTTTGGTGTAAATTTTAAATTTCGTATATTTTTTTCGGTTTTTCCTTCACTTGTGTTTATTTGTGTAGGTTAGGCTTCAGAACCGGGAAATCCCGGTCTCGACAGTATCATGAGTTTCCGGTTCTTTTGAGCCATCAAAGAACCGGAACTAGAAATAAAAATTCCTGGTTCTTTCGGTACTTCGGTACCGAATTTTTTTTTACTCGTTAACAGTAATTAATTGTTCTTTACTATTGAAGTTTAGATATGTTATTTTATTATTAAGTACAATGTTTCCTAATATATTAGTTATATTTTATGTTGTTTTTATAGAAATTTGCATTTTTTTGACTGATTATTTAATAATTATTTTCATTAAAACACATATTTTTATCGGTTTTATTTTTGAAAACCAATCCTTGCTTGCTGGTTGGCGAAATGTGCCATCATTGAACAAAAAATTAGCCAGTACCGAACCTTAGAGGCGTGGTACCGAAATTCCCTGTTCCTACAAACGGCTCCGGTTCCGGGAACCCTAGTCTTAGACCGTTGGAGGATTCTGATTCCAGGTTACAGATAGAGTCTTCTAGGTTTTTGAGTTCCGCTTTAAGTTGGTTTCCACTTGGGAAACAGAACGGTTCTAGTCCAGTAAGTGGAGTGTTTCATCCGCGTGTTTTTAGAAAGGGACCTTTGTTATGATTCTAAATAATTTTTAAGGTGTTAACGTTGAAATTAAGCGAAAATTTTGGCATTTGGTCGCTACACTAAATTATACTAGCAAAAAAATAAAGGTCTAAATAAAAATAAGATGTTGCCTGTCGGAAACGGTAAGTAGCTAAACGACCAGTGAAGCCTCTACGTACAGAGCTCTAATGCAGCTCTATGTTCGCTCTATTTAAAGTGTGTTTCGAAAATGCATTGTTTCCGAGATATTTAATTTGAAAGATTTTGATTGTCATTTTCTGAATATACCCCTTTGAAAAAAAATGATTTTTTTATTTGGAAAAATCTGTATCACAAAAAAAGATCTCCTAAAAAAACTAAGATAGCAAGGGTAGATTAAATGATACTTTAACAGCGAGGACAGGTTAAAAAAATTATTTCTTCTCGCACATTTTTTAATTGCTTCCATTTTTGAAAATTTTTTTATTCCTTTTCATAAGTTATTCCGGATTTTAAAGTAGTTTGGATATGGCGTTTGTCGCCTCAGCCAGAATATCTGTTGGTAATTTACTTATTTCGTTTTGAACCATTTCTGGCCGCAATTCAACTGACAACTAAAGAGACAGCTTTATTTAATTGTCAAATTACCTAGAAACCAACACCAACCCAGCACAATATTTTTTCTACTCTTACTCTACTTAGAGTTAGGAAATACGCTACAAAACATTCGAATAATGACACCAAATTCATTCTTAATCAAACCTCATCAATTTTTTTTGAAGGTGAATTTAAGACAAATTCGTTCAGCAAATTTTAACAACGAAGTTTATAGTCTATTATAAATGAGGCACAAAATTAAACAATCTTCTACTTGTTCCAATAAAACCGGCGGCAACAACTGTTTGAATTTTTTATAAGATATAGTCAGGAAGCATTTAATTTAGGCAAAGATTTTGTGCCGTCTAGTAGGAAGGAGTAATTTTGTGACTAATGTATCTGGAGAATTATTTAAGAACACGTGGGTTCGGTCTTTAAGCGTGCGATCGAATAAAAAGACGTCATAGTAGGCATAGAAACGGTATTTTAGTACAGTTGAACAAGAGCTGCTTAAAGATGAAACTGAAATGTGCTATTAAATGAAACATATTATATCCTTGTTTTCAACAATGACAAACAACAAATAGCAAATTATTATTGGTACTTTTTTCAGTTTTATTCAAATCTTCCACTTGCTTAGCTCACAATTTTGTTAAGTTTGTTGTAAGCAATAACCATAGTAAAACTATACCTACCTCTCTGTGTTTTTAATAGGAATTTTTTTGATTTTCAATAGTGTTAATGAAACAATGACTCAATATGTTTATTCATAATGCTAGTTAGTTAGAAATCTATTTTGATTTGATAATTTATTTATTAGACACATTTTTGTTTATTATGCTTTAGCGACAATCATCTACATTGATAAGTGAAATTCTAATATACAAACAATAGGAATATTTTTAAATTATCTTACTATATTATACAGGGTCACAATATAGTATTTCCCGATTATTACTTTTCATATTGTTATATACGCGTCATTACAGGTTATGTTTTGATCCTGTAATGACCCATATGATTGTCAGATTGTCATTACAGGATTGTTCATATCCTGTAATGATATTGTAAGAAACTATCTAACTAATTCAGTTGTTTTAATACCATAGCAGAATTTTGAAATGTCTAACCATTAAATCTTGGTGCGATTCGAACCTCCTGAGTCTCAACATTTCTAAAACTAAAGCTTTGTCGTATAAAAACTCGTTGCAGCCTTTTGTACTTAACAACCCCACCATTGACGTCGTAAAATCTGTAAAATTCTTATGGCTTGTTGTGGACAATTCTCTGAAATGGGACATACATATCGAAGCTTTGTCGAAAAAATTGAGCTCTGCCTGTTTTGCATTAAGGTCTATTTCTAAGGAGCTTAACTTGTCAGTGGCTAGAGCTGTTTATTATGCACTTTTTGAGTCGCACTTCAGGTATGCCCTTCCATTCTGAGCAATTCCTCAGGTATGCCCTTCAAATTCCAAGCTCCAGAAGAGAGCTGTTCGATATTCACTAGGACTAAACAGCAGAACTCATTGCCGGGACTTTTTTAAAGAATTAGGAATATTGACTCTTCCTTCCTTATTTATATTTGAATCCGTTTGCCTAATACGTAAACATGTATCAGCTTCTCAAGAAAGGCCATCTCACACTTATCCACTCAGGAACGCGGAGCAAGATCTTTATCTACCTACCCCACGCTCAGAGTTAGTTAAAAGTTCAATATTGTACAACTCTGAAAAAATGCACAATCACCTGCCATTTGAAATCAAATCCATAACATCATTTTTTTCATTTCGCAAAGCATTGAACTCTTATTTACTAGACAAGGCTTTCTACGCCGTAAATGAATTATATTTGAATTGAAAATCGAATTTGATCTTGAAAACACTGGTCTAATGTTTGCTATTGCTATATTTACTAATGACATCGAAATTAATTTATTTAGAGGTCATTGATATTTTGCTATAACCTGGCTAAATATTTTTGAATATTATTTTAATTTTTTTGTTCTTTGACATTGTAAACATTTATAAATGTTTATTTTAACAATAAGACTGACAATATTATTTATATAATGTTTTGTATTATCTTTTGTTTGTTTGTTTGTGTACCTTCTTTTTTTTCTACTTTGTTTGTTAGTTTACCTT